TACTATATCAGGGATTACTGAACAAAATACAAAATATAGTTATGTAGTTGCGCAACTCGATTCTCGTATAGCAGCTGAAGTGGAGGATATAATTACGAATCCACCTTTAGAACAACGGTTTGACATATTAAAAAAGGAACTTATTCGACGCTTGAGTTGCTCTGATGAACAACGTTTCCATCAGTTATTAAGCGAGTCAGAATTGGGTGATAAAAAACCATCGCAATTTTTACGATATTTAAAATCACTAGCGGGTACATCTTTTAACGATGAAAGGATTTTGCGTCATTTGTTTTTGCGTGCTCTTCCACAAAGCATTCAGGCAATTTTAACAACTCAACCTGATTTATCACTCAATAATATTGCCGAATTAGCTGATCGTATAATGGATGTCTCCGATTCCGCACCATCGGTTTACGCAACGTCAGGATTGTCAATTTCTAATACAATATCTAATTTAGCAAAAAGAGTTGATCAAATTGCTGATCAGGTAGATACTTTAATGAATGTTCGTGGTCAGCGCAATCAGTCACAATCACAAATTTTGCACGTTTGCTGGTATCACAAAATTTTTAAAGACAAGGCTTTAAAATGTGTTAGTCCTTGCTCGTGGACTCAGAAAAACATGACAAACAATCAGTAGCGGCGGCAGCTGATTGTTTTACTTCATCTCGCCGCCTTTTTATTAACGACCGTAATTCTAACGTTCGTTTTTTAGTTGATACTGGTTCGGATATATGTTGTTATCCTAGAAAACTATTGAAGAGCAGATGTTTACCGACTAACTATGAATTAAATGCAGCAAACGGTAGTATTATTAAAACTTTTGGTACAATTAATTTAAAGTTAGATCTCGGTCTAAAGCGCGATTTCCATTGGCGTTTCGTCGTTGCGGATGTCAGTACTGCAATAATTGGATCTGATTTTCTTGCTTACTATCATTTACTTCCAGACTGCAGAAATAAAAAAATATTGGATGGCAAGACCGGACTCTCTGCAACTGTCTTTATTGCTTCATGTTCGCAGTCTAGTGTAAAAGCTATCACTGTTTTACCTGATTCACCATATCAACGACTTTTACTGGATTTTCCTTCTATTATACGACCTCCTGGTTTTCCACGGGAAATAAAGCATAACACTATGCATTATATAAAAACAACTGACGGACCACCCGTTTCTTGTCGCCCTCGCCGTCTTGCCCCTCAAAAACTTATGATTGCAAAAAAGGAGTTCGAAGATATGGTAAGATGTGGAACAGCCAGACCTTCTAAAAGTCCTTGGTCTTCGCCTTTACACTTGGCACCTAAAAAAGATTTGTCCTGGCGTCCGTGTGGTGACTATCGTGCTTTGAATGCTCGAACTGTACCAGACCGCTATCCCGTTCGTCATATAGGGGATTTTGCTCATAATCTTGCTGGTTGCACTATATTTTCAACATTGGATTTGGTAAAAGCTTACCAACAAATTCCTACTTTTGAAGATGATATTTGCAAGACTGCAATTACTACTCCATTTGGTCTCTTCGAATTTCCCTTTATGACGTTCGGTCTACGTAACGCTGGTCAAACATTTCAAAGATTTATAGATGAAGTCACATTCGGCCTAGATTTTTGTTTTCCATATGTCGATGACATTTTGGTGTATTCCCAAAGTCAGGAACAGCACCTTCAGCATCTTCGTATTCTTTTTCAAAGACTGGATCAATATGGAGTTGTAATTAATCCAATAAAGTGTGTTTTTGGGGTTGACGAGGTAACGTTTCTTGGTTACCGTATATCTAAACAAGGAACTCGTCCTCCTCCAGAACGTATCACTGTTCTTCAAGAATATCCTTTACCTAAAACAGCCCAAGGTGTTAGACGGTTCTTAGGAATGTTAAATTTTTATCGTCGGTTTCTACCCCATGCAGCTAAAACCCAAGCTCCATTAATAAAGGCCTTGACTGATACAAAACTTACCGGTAACAAACCTATGCCCTGGACACCTGAGTTAGAGCGTGTTTTTGTAGAATGTAAAGAAAGTCTTTCACAAGCAACACTTTTAATGCATCCAATTCCCAACAAATCTCTAGGTCTGTTTACGGATGCATCGAGTTCTCATGTAGGAGCATGCCTACAACAGTTGGTTTCAAATGGTTGGCAACCTTTGGCGTTTTTTAGCAAGAAGTTAACACCTCGCCAATCTGGTTGGCCTGCGTATTACAGGGAGCTTTTAGCTGTTTATGAGGCAATTCAGCACTTCCGTCATATATTAGAGGCACAACATGTTACTATTTATACAGATCATAAGCCATTGATCTATGCTTTTTCCCAACGACGTGAGAAATTACCACCTATTCAACTTAATCAGCTGTCTTTCATTTCCCAATTTACAACAGATGTTGTTTATATAAAGGGAGCTGAAAACATTGTGGCAGATACTATGTCTCGAGTTGAAGCTATTTCTTTAGAAGACGATTTTATTGCTTTAGCACAGGCACAATTACAGGACGATGAGCTTCAAGATTTCTTGGCCAATCCGAAAAAGACTGGTTTGAAACTTGAGAAAGTCACCGTACCCGGTTCGAATGTTGTTCTATTGTGCGACACTTCTACTAATAAAGCGCGTCCATATGTTACATCTGAATTTCGCAGAAAGATTTTTGACGACCTTCATAATCTTAGCCACCCCGGTAGTCGAGTTACAGCTCGTCTTGTAGCTGACCGATTTGTGTGGCCTGGTGTTAATAAAGACTGTAAGCTTTGGGCTCGATCTTGTATTCGTTGTCAACGCAGCAAAGTTACTAGACATACTGCTACACCAATTGGTATTTTTTCTAGCCCTTCGGCTAGGTTTAAACACATTCATTTAGATATTATAGGTCCACTTCCAATAGTCGGTCATTACCAGTATTGCCTCACTGCAGTCGATCGTTTCACGCGATGGGCAGAAGTGTGGCCCATGTCTGGTATAAGTGCTTTAGAAGTTGCAGAAACTTTTGTATTTGGCTGGATTTCTCGATTTGGTGTACCCTCGATTATAACAACAGACCAAGGCCGCCAATTCGAGTCCGATTTGTTTCATCGACTTCTAGTGTTCTGCGGTTCCAAGCGCATTAGAACTACCAGCTATCATCCTTCTGCCAACGGAATGATTGAGAGAGTTCACCGACAACTTAAGGCTGCTTTGATGTGTCATAGTGATTCATGGCTTAGAGCTCTCCCGTTGGTATTGCTTGGTATGCGGACATCTCTCAAGGAAGATTTGAAAATGTCTTCCGCAGAGCTTCTCTACGGTGAACCTCTTCGATTGCCTGGAGAATTTTGGTCGGGTTCATTTGATATTAACGTTGATTTGACTGATTTTGTGGTTCAGCTACGAAATAAAATTATCAAACTTCGTCCTATTCCAGCATCTCGTCATGTTACACAAGTTCCATTTATTTTCAAAGATCTAAAAAACGCTACTCACGTGTTTTTGCGTGATGATACTATTCGACGCTCACTGGTACCACCTTATACTGGACCTTACCGCATCATCGCTCTTAAAGAAAAAACTGCGTCACTTGATGTAAATGGTAAACAAATTGAGGTATCATTGGATCGTGTTAAGCCTGCTCATTTGGAAAGTTTTCCTTGCACTGAAACACATGCTCCACTTGCTCTTGCGGATCCTTCAAAGGCAAATAAGAATCTACCTTCTGACTCAACCTCAGGTTATGTAACAAGATACGGTAGACGCGTTCGTTTTCTTAATTCTTAGAATAATATTTTATTTTATTTTTGTTTGGTTTCCTTTTCTCCGTAGGGGGGTAATGTGGCGGTTGTATAATGTCATTCTTATCAACCGACCTCTTTGTTTTTATGAATGTAAAAATGAAAATTTAGACGATAAAATATAGGACTGTCAATACGATGCTGTCAGATTACTAAAACGTGTTTTATTTATTAAAATATTATTAAATGGAAAATGTTATATACTTTTCCATAGTTGCAATAACTTTGGCAGTGAGATTCTTACATTTTTTGCAAGTCAACTTTTACCGATGTTTTTAGCTTTTTAGTCCTTTTTACTCTATTTACTTTACTAATTTTTCACTAAGAATTATTCATCATCAGCCCTTTTACGTTCAGTCCTTCCTTATAGATGGTTAAGGAGGATGGGACATAACCCTCCACGCTGGCCCAATGCGGATTGGAGGGTATTAACGACTCCAAATGCAGCCAGGACTAACGGCTTAACGTGCGTTTCGAAGCACGAAATAGCTCGAGATAATATTTTTTGGTCACCCATCCCGTGACAAAGTTGCTTAATCGCGGGCCGCGGCGCTTATCCTCTTCGCCACTGAGCTACCACTAGTTAGATTATTGCTAAACACTATTTGTTAGTGCGTTAAAAAATTGACTTTACGATGGTTTGACTACTAAATATTAGCGCGCAAGGTGGGTTCTGTTACCCACCAATTCACATCTGACTGTGATAAATTATAATCTAACTAAAAGTAATTTTTAAAATTGTAAGCAGTATGTTACAGATCACAATTATGGGACATTTCACAATCACGAGATAGATTGGAATCTAGCGCTTATTGCAACTTTACGGTAAAAATACAAGATACGACGTTTAAAACTACACGACTATCTGTCGTATTAACAAGATAGGAACGCGCTCTTACTTGTAAAAAAGATATCGAAATGACGTGACGGGTCGACAGCTTTGTGCGGCTTCCGCACCTGTCGTAGACAATTAGAAAAACCAGTTCAAATAAAGCTGTAGTCAGATAGAGCAAAGAAGAAGTACGGCAGTGAGCAAGGAAAAACCTTACTCAACTATGTCTTCCCGACTATATCTATAGTCACGTGCACAGGTCGCGGTTAGAACAGGAGTTGTAACAAAACGGATAGTTATGGTAAAGAGGTTCTAGTTGTTAGAATCTCTTTACTATAAATATTAGTACTAAAATCTGAATGCAGTGGTATTTAACCTTTTTAACTGGTGACAAAAAAATTAAATTAAATTAACTAAAATGTTTGTCTATAGTCTTCTACACATTTTCTCGACCCATTCCAGTAGATGTTATGAAACGCTAATCTATGGTGTATACGGGTGATTTATTTTCAAATCACTTGCACACAATGGTGAGAGTCGGTGCAAATCTAAAGGAAGATCCTTGAAGGATCTTCCGCCTCTTACAGAAGTATACGTAATTACAATGCAAAATTTCCGTCTAAAGTGTGCAAGGGTGACGGTCACCTATACTAATATTTTATAGAGGAAACATTTGATTGTTTGTTCGTTTGGAACGAATAGATCCCGAAACTACTGGACCGACTTTAAAAAAATTACGACATATGTGGTGAACGAAAGCGAAAAGAATGAACATGGGAGTGGATGTTTGTATAGGGAATTAAAATGTTACCATAGTAACCATTATTTGCTATTCAATTTGTCACTGCAATTACATCCATGCCATGATATGAATCATCACCAGCCCTTTTACGTCCCCACTGCAGGGGCTCAGGCCTTCCTTATGGATGGTTAAGGAGGATGGGCCATGACCCTCCACGCTGGCCCAATGCGGGTTGCAGGGTATTAACGACTGCAAATGCAGCCGGGACCAACGGTTTAACGTGCCTTCCGAAGCACGGAGTAGCTCGCGATAATAATTTTTTGGTCACCCATCCCGTGACCGACCCTTGCGAAAGTTGCTTAACGACTTAGGAAATGTGTAAAATACATTCCATGCATCTTATCCACATATGGAGCGAAGACAAACCATATTTATACATATCATCTCTGATGGGTCTTTTGGATACATAGTCCAAGTCATTCATTTTACTAGGTGGAGTATTACAAATATTACAAACAGCTGCAGAAGAAGTGTTGGAAATCACAGTGGAAATTTTCCCATCAATCATAGTCATGTACAAAACATGACTTACCTCAAAATTGTCTACAACTGTAGGAACAAGATTATGTATTTCTTCCTCCATGGAAGCACTCTCCTTCTTAATCAAATCATTTGATTCTTTGGCAAATATAAAACCAATTGGACGACAGTAGTTTGTTGATGAGGGGGTAGGATTTTTCCATAAGATAGTACCTTCTTCTAAACGAAGCGGAACCAAACTAATCATAAATACTGAGGAATCGTCAATTTTTATATCGTACTTTGACTTTTGTTTATAGTTACTTTGAGAAGAAGACCCTTCAAAACCCCATTTGCTTATCAGTTTTAAGGATTTTTTGTCTGCAGAGTTGTGCTGAATTGTTTTTAATATCCTATTAGTAGTTAAATCTAGAAGAGATTGAAGTCTTATCCTACCTTCAGATTCAGTTACAATAATGTCTGTCTCGGGAGGATAACATCTTTTTTTAGCGTCCAGAAGCTTGTGATAGGACGGAAGACCAAAAATATTATCTGAAGCAAGAATAGATCTCAAATTAAGATATTGCCATTTTGACAGATTTAATGACGTGACAAGCGCCAACGCCTTATTATCAGGTAAACACGGTTTCACAGTTTTCACAGTTTTTACAGTGAATAAAACGTCACTTACGATTTCACATTTTTCTTCATTTTGACTAAGTTCTTTTATTATAGATGCTAATATTGCTTTGTTGGATTCTTTTAATTTAAAACATAAAGCATAAAGAAGTTCCTCCTCAGTGTAATCTAGAAGTGTGAGAGAACGCCTTTTCTTTTGCTTATCAGATAAATCCAAAAAAGGTTTTTTACTAGTACTACAACTTGCTTGATTATCTACTAGCGTATCAATGATTGGAACTTCTTCCTCGGTAACTCTGAAAATGTTGTTTAAATCAATATTCTTACATTTTGGCCAAACGATTTCAGACTCTAACCAGTGTGAATTTTTGTTCAAAAACGTTTTTTGGGTTCGGCTAGAAGCAGACCATCTTTTTGAGACATTACTTGAAAAATTACGACAATATAATTTAATAATACTTAAATCTTCGGAAGATAATTCAACACCAATGCGTTCGGTAAGAGTTTTAAAAAGAAAATCAATATTTTTTGAACCACCTCCAGATTTAAGAGCAACGTATAAATCTAAGTTGGTGACAAATGCGGACATGTTCTATAATTTTTAAGGAAACTCTATTCAACCTATTTGTTTTACAAAAAGGATATTTAAAGACAAGACAAGTCAAAGACAAGGTGATTTTGTCCCAAAAACAAAAAAAAAAACAACAAAAGCAAAATAGAGCTATCTCTTGTCGATATGAACAAAAAATGATTGAATTGTAAAATCCAAGGAGTGGAAAACGATAATACAAAAAACAATTAAAAAAAAACTTCAAAACCTACGTTAAAAACCTATCAAAGACAAAGGTACCTATCAAAAACAAAGGTATTTTAAACCAAAAATAAAAAATAACGAAAATAAAATCAACGAGAGCTAAACAAACATAAAATTTTAAATTATAATAATCCAAAGACTCTAAAAAAATAACAAAAACAAGTAACAATAATATAACAAACAATTTAACAACTGAGGTATTTATCCAAGCGTACAGAAAACGAAACACGTCTAATCGCAATCACATTTAGCTGTATACTGACGTGTGCGAGAGCGTGTCATGATACGTCATGAAAGGCGGCCATATTGTTATTCCGGCAAACTCGCGTCGAAGCTTCATATTTCTGGCCAGCGGACCTATAATCCATAAAAATGTAGCATTTTGAATGTAAAAACAAGATGTTTTTGAATATATACTTAACAGTGGTGTGTAACCTGCGTTATTATTACTAAACAGTCCATTTTAAAACTCATTTTCATATATTTAACTCGTACAAAACTATAATTTGAATTTACAAAATACATGAATTTTGATGCTTATTATCTCCAAAGTACGCAGCGATAGGCAGTAAGTTTCTTCGAATGAAATACTCAGAATAATTAGTTTTGTCACATATGTGATTGCCATCTTGACATCGCTTAAATTTTTTGAGAAAATCAATAAAATGTAATTTCTCCCATACAAAAAAAAACGAAATATTTTTTTTACCGAAAAGTATATGTGTCAGGGTAATAATATTTTTTTGCCTTATATGTTATCACTGTATCAACGTTCAAAAAAATTTTCGTCGCTGTAGCTTCAATGTCCATGTTTTATTTTTTCGGGACCACTGTGCGGCGGCGTTTATCTATTACGCCACCGAGCTACGAATATGAATCAATATTCAAATAAACAGTTCCTTAGGGACCAATCCGGCGAAGCCGCTAACAGAAAGCTAGTACCCTATAATTTATTTCTGAAATTTCATGACCGACGCGTCGCGACGTTTACAGTTACAGCTCGCTAATGAGTACGCGGCTTTAAATATATCTACGTACATTCTACGTTAACTAAATTTACATTTATACAACTAAGTAACGAGAGCGCTGTCCTTGATTTAACCAAATGACAAGGTAGAAAAGGCAAATTATCCGTAAATCAATTACATTAGACCGTCTTACTTTAGAATGCTTCTACATTCTTTCAAAACAGCTATATAAGAACTCAATCCTTGTGACTTACACAAAAAGATTATTTTTCAATGAATAACCTTTTATTTGTAAGTAAATGTGCTTAATTCAATTACTTCTAAAGATTCCAGCGTCCTCTCACGACCTCGGTTATTCAAATCCGACCCGTCTAACCCTTATTAATTTGTTGCATCATTAATCAATCAATTTGTATTACTTGACTTTCCCCGTCTTTTGAGAAACGAGATTGTAAAAAAATTGGTATTCTAAAAAACCTTTTGAAAAAAAATACCAGCTTCGAATTTTAAAAATGTAATAAATAATGCTTATCTCAAAAGCGAGTTATTTAAGAAAATAGTTTAAAGTCAGATGGAAGTTTTCTGTATGTTATTAATGAAATGATAGGCGCTCGACTACAATAGCTTTTTGTAAAAAGGTTTTTTTCATATTGTTTTTTTTATATAATAGGTAACACTAAAAATATTAAATATCCGTTAAATAAAAATATTTAACATAGTGAGTCATAGAAAGGAAGATTTTGTTAATTTGCTCGATATTTTTTTTCCAATAATTTATACTTTATATTATAAAGAGGAAAGATTTGACTACTTCTTTCTTTGCTTGCATAAGACAGGATCTGAAACTAATGGTCTGATTTTTAAGTCTTTCATAAATAGGAAGCCAAATAATACGCGGGGGACATATGTTTATATTATCTGCTTATTTAGGTGATATCTGATGAAAAGCGTATTTTGTCCTTTTTTACAAAATACGCAAGAAGAACTTTGAAAAAATAAGAACTTTGAAAATCAGTAAACAATTGGCGGAAAAATCGGTGAACATTTATAAAAAACATACATCGCCGTCGAACACGTAACTCCCTTCTCTTCGATTTTGAAGTTGGTTAAAACTATTACATTTTTTAAAGTTTTTTCAAGATCCAATCAAATTGAAAACCTTTTAATTGTAATACTTTGTATACAAAGTGCATGGTGGTTCAATTATACATAAAACAAAATCATGAACTATATGAATTAGTTTTATGAATGATTGAAGTTAAGATTCAAATGTAAATAAGTTGAGGGCAGTACCTAATCATATTTTCGAATAATACATGAAACTATATATCGTTATATATCGTTTAAAAAAAATCATATCAATTCTGTAGGATTTATCATAGCAAAAAAGTAAATTAGAATTCAAATTTAAAAGAAATCACAATTAAAATTTTCCATCAGTTTTATACAAAGCAATAACGGCCAACATGAGGAAACTACATCACAGGATGATTATTGGGTCAAAAGTGATTTATAAAAAATTCTCGATATAATGAAAATAAATAAAGCAAACTCTAGAGATTATCATTTTTTTATATCTTTTCATATCTGCTCTTTTATTAAAAGAAAAATGTAATAAATATGTATGTGAGTCATTTTTCAAAATAATTAGTTTGCACTCGATTCGAGATTCGGTTGTTAAACGAATTTTGCAAGGGCCGATCATAGGATGGGTGACTGATAATTGATTATCTCGAACTCCTCCGTGCTTCGGAACGCACGATTAGCTCTTGGTCACAGCTACATCTGCAGTCGTTAATTAATACCCGCCAATGTGCATTGGGCCGGCGTGGTGTGTCATAGCCCATTCTCCCTCTTCGATTTCATCCAAAGGAAAGGCCTGAGCCCCATCAGTGCAGATATTAATAGGCTGGAGATGAGATTTTTCCACGTCTTCATCGCTACGACAACGTCTGTCCCTATGTATCCCATTGTGGTGCTTGTCGATTTTGTCTCGTTTTTATTTAGCCCTGTCTTAAGCAAATAGTTTCTAATACGTATTTAATTCTAAATTCTTAGAAATTGTGGAAATAGTGACTAACTGTTCTTCCACTATAAATATTTCATACTTTTCTTTGTGTTTGAACAAATCACAAAATGTGTCAATGGGATCAGTTGCACCCAAAAGTATTCATTAGGGTCCACTAATCCTGGGTTCACTTCAAGCTGCCTCAACGACTAAAGAGCTTAATACCTAATCAAATAAGATAAATTAGTATGGAATAAAAGAATATATCAAACATAATATTTCTTAACATGCAACTGTGTCAGGTGCATAACTGTTAATAAAAACCAAATCATTTATTTACTGTTATTAAATTCTATGTTAATTCATACAGTTTAGATGATTGCTACGGCGTTAACACTAAATTGATAAATAAGTTTATATTATTCATCGAGATTTTATGATTGAATATCTAGGAAAAACATCTCAGAAGTGTTTTAATATTATTGGTAAAAAAATGAATAGTTTTAAAATAATGGAGATTGATTAACAGTTCGGAGAAAATAGTGTTTTCTTGTATAACGGAGTCTTCTGAATCTCTTTCTTTTACTTTAAAACTTGTCTTTAAAATATAACAATTCGATTTAGTTTGGTTCATATCAACTTAGTAGCTCAGGTAACTTTACTCATGCCCCACGTAATAGTTTTAACGCCTAATCTGAGTAAGGCTTCCCTAAAAACAGGTCAATTATTTGAAAACGTTTACATTCTAACCTTTAAGAGAGAGAAAACAAAATCGTATGTCCCTGACACATTTAGTGCTGACTGTAATCAAGTTACGTAAGGGAATCCAGGAACGTTTATTTCGGTTGGCCACAGACCGAAGGATTCTATTTTTATCTTCATTTCTTTGTTGACCCAAACCCTTCCAAATTATGTTAAGCTGGCCAAACTAAATTAATTCATTCAATAATACCTGTACACTGTTTTAGGGTAGTAATTATAAAAGGTTTTTGTAATAAAGTTAGAAATCTATTTAATTAAAAATATATACTGAGAAAATACACTTTTGCATTATATAGGTAAACAAATATTACTTTGAATAATATAATAACAAGGACATGGTAAACGATTCAAAAATATCTCCCTAGGTTTCAAAATCGTGTCTTCAAGCCGGAATAGCATAAATTGCTAACCACCGGCCTTGGAAAATTCAATCAATATAATCCTGTTTACAATGGTACTACTAAATAGTCGACACAATAGACGCAAAACAATTTAAACATCTCTAAAAGTATTATGAAAATGGAAATTCAGTATTAAACTTAACATTTATAAATATTTCATTTCTATAATATCTTCTAATATATATTATAACATTCTCGTGTTACAGATTTACTTGATTTTGATCACATTTTATGTTTATCTAATAGATCTGAGAGAAGTTTTTATATCTATTTTTATACGCCTAAGTAGTAAGGATGGAGCATCCCAAAATATAAGAGGTAAATTTTCTAATTTCGTTTTTTATTGATGCAACCTTCAGAATATTCACCTGTTCATGAAAATTATTTCACCTGCGGAAATGAACATTACATGCGGATGAAATAGGTGATAATTTACTACGGTATTCACCTGCACTCTACAGATCAGACATCAGAGCAAATACTGCAAAATACAAAATTGCGGTTGCTTCTATAAATGGAACATGCAAATCAGAAATATCCATTTCAGAAACAGAAACAAACGTTCATGTGGGTTTCACCTTTGACCTTTTCAGTTACTTGGCATTTCGATGTTTTAAATCAAATAATTTTTGCTGTACTCAAACAATACAGTTGTAGTTAGCGCAGTTGGTCGGCGATTAGGGTGGTTAAGCAACTTTTGCAAAGTCTAGATATTGGGTGTGTGGCCAAATATATCACTATAGCTCATGAAGCAGGTAATAGTTATCACCATTATACACTGGCATAGAAATCGCAAGTGACATATTTGGTCACCCATCCAAAATCTAGACTTTGCAAAAGTTGCTTAATCAAGGTCGAAACTATATTTTCTTATAAATCTTCGCCGAATAATATCTACGTTATGAATTATGGCCAGTATATAGTAACGTATTTCTATTTATAGTTAAAGTCTATGTTCCAAAAGTGGGAGCATTCATAGGCATAAAATAATCTGGGTTTTTCCAGTCCTCCCATCGGTACTCCGATTTTTAGGAGCAGGGGGTTTTCTTTTCCAATTCGATTAACTAAATAAATAAATTGTTTTTATGTCCAAATTCATGCCTGTTTTAATTTATTAAGACGATCGGGATTTTTTTCCCGATTCGATTAACTGAATAAATAAATTGTTTGTATGTCCAAATTCATGCCTGTTTTAATTTATTAAGACAATCGGGATTTTTTCCCAATTCGATTAACTGAATAAATAAATTGTTTTTATGTCCAAGTTCATGCATGTTTTAATTTATTAAGACGATCCCTGACAGTAATTATAAAACTTGTGTTGTGATGATCGCTCTTAGCCTAAAACCAGTAACAATTTGGGATTATTATTATGAAGTACTCAGTAACAACATGAGTGTTTGCGTGTTTGTGTGTGTGTGTGTGTGTGTGTGTGTGTGTGTGTGTTTGTGTGTGTGTGTGTGTGTGTGTGTGTTGAATGTGGTAATTCTGGTGAAAGTATTAATGAATGATTGAGGTTTAAGCAAAAATAATTTCCGTTCTCATTCAGAATATATGACAGCAATCCATTCGAGCAGATCACGGATATGGTAATGACATCACCAACCACATTAAAAATTCGTATATGTTATGTTACGTACTTATATGTAGCACCATCAACAATCCAGACATTGAGTGTTATATCCAGACATAGTGTATTAGACCATAAACGTATTATGCAGCCTAAAAACAAGGTTTCAAGTATCTTCTAGGAACATTACAAACTTCAGAATAAATGTTGCGGACGACATCTTATTAAAACGTTTTTTTAATTTATATTTTTTAATATTCCTTTGTATTTTGTTTTAATAAATTTCGAATTTAATTATAATAATTCCGTTCAATGAATTCATTCACAGATGAAGAATTACAAACATCACCGAACATTATTCCAAACACCATTTAAAACCTCTTTATACAATTACTTTCTATTCAATTAAATTCAATTTATTCAATTTGATCGACAGACTAAACAAAGAAACATGAGAAAAATATTATTTTTTCATTGAGTTGAACATAAAAGAAGACGATATCAAAAGAAATGGGAACTTCCTGTATATTAAAGTTGGAGAAGGGAGTTCAAAGCAATTTATATTGTTACAATATTCTAACATCACTGCCATTGAATTCAGAAATAATGTCATCTAAATAACTTGCCCTCTGACGTCTAGCCCGCGTATTCGATAACATCAATTAAGGAGCTGTCACAATTTTTACCTGCGCTATTTGTTTCAGAACTACTGAATCTTAGTACGTCATGTAACACATAAAACATTGTAATATCCTTAACTCTACAAATGTATTTTTTATAATTATTTGTAATCTCCACGAACTGTTTTATTTACTGAATCATTTGTATTTATTCAGGTGCTTTTGACGAAAAAATTTATTGTAATTAGAAATTGATTTGAAGCTCTTATAAAGATCTGACAAAGACTGACCAAAAATATATTACCTTGAGCTCTCGAGTTCGGCTGCATCAACAGTGAGTGAGCCCGCATGATGCTTTTAAATCCATATGTGATTTAATAAGGAAGTCCTTTCTTCCAACATCGAGATTATTAATATAATAAACAAATAAGTAGAAAAACTTAAAGAAAAACTTACTTACACTCGTCTCCTTACTATTTAGTTATCAAAATCATGCTTAAACTCTTTGTGATTCATACATATTGCATGTGTTTTCCTAACATAAATTAATAATTAATGTTCTTGACCGCAAATGTTAAAAATCATGTGACTCGTACCAGTTGTTGAAATATTTGCTTATAATACAAATCGAGATTGCGTATATAAAATTTTACCACAATAACGGATACCGGTCTAAGACCTCTCAACGTTTAGAAATTTAAATTAATATACAATCGGGTATCATTGGATGTTGTTGGCCGTTTCAATTGAGCCTTCTGGGAGTATTAATTAATGATGGACCGGAGATCTTCGATACTGGATTTTGTATTTGAATTTAAAGCAAACATTGTCAGTATCTCTATTTAATTCTAATTATAAAATATATTGGGCACAAAAATTTAAGTGTTGTACTATATAGACTAAAACAATAATATAGACTAATTTGATTCTTTAGGGAGGTTCCTAAATAATGTTTTCTTTCTTTTCACTTTCAAAGTGAACACATTGCTGCTATGTCAAGTTTCTAAGATAGATATTCATAAAAACTAGAAGATGAAGATAAGATCGATTCCTTTTTGTCTTTCCAAAAAAATATATATATATTTTTTTTTATATAAATATCCCTACCGTTTAATAGATGAAATTTGCATAATTGAGCAAAACGCGCAGATAAACCATTAGCCAAGCTTAGCCAAGCAGAAGAACAAGATAAGATCGTGATTTCATCCAGTGCCGGATTAAGAGTATTTTATACCCTACGCAATCCACGTTCATCTACCCCCATACACAGGTAAAGTAGTAGAAAATATGACGTGCTAAATACAACAGGATAGTTTTTGAATTAAAAGAGATACGTGATATGAATGTACGCCTGGAATTTTAAACAGCCTTTGTGTTTGGAATACTTTTTGGTGCTACTTCTGACCTTTGAGACGGTGCCTTTAAAATGTGATGACGTAAACAATAACTTATTTTGCTTATGGGCTAATCCGGTATTGAATACACCTCCGCTGTTTTTCGGGTATCACGTCGTAGAGCAATATTGTATAGAGTAGCAAACTAATTACTAATTAGCATTACGTATGCCACATAAGAAACTTGCATTGTGCAAATGAATATAGATTCACAAGAAATTAGTGGTGTAATCACTTGTTTTTAGAGACATATCGTGTGTCATGACCACACATTAAGCACAGATAATTATACCATGATATGTATCAGTCGTATCATCTTTCATGTGACGTCCTTAAATTTAGTATCGAAGATATCCAGTCTGTCATCAATTCATACTTCCAGAAGGCTCAAAGGAAACGGACAACAACATCCGATAGTACCCGATCGGCTATTCATTCAAATTTCTTAACGTAGAGATGACTACTAAGACCGTTATTGTGGTAAAATATTATAATGCAAATCGAGTATGCAATACTAGTTTACCTGTGTATGGGGGAAGTTGTGGTATAAAATGCTCTTAATCTTGCATTGGATAAAATCTCGATCTTTTCTTCTTCTTCTGTTTGGTTAAGCTTGGCTTATGGGCTTATCTGCGTGTTTTGCTCAATTTTACAAATTTAATCTGTTACACGATAGGGATTCTTATATAAAAGAAATAATTTTATTTCAGAAAAATAAAACAAATCGATGTTATCTTCTAGTTTTTATGAATATCTATCTTAGAAACTTGTCAAAGCAGCAATGTGTTCACTTTGAAAGAGGTATCAGAAAAGACAATATTTAGGACCTCCCAAGAGAACCGAATTTAAATTTTCAATTAGCCTAAATAGTACAACAGTAAAATTTTCAATATAATTTTTAATTGAAATTGAAAATGAATAGAGATATTGACAGTGTTTGCTTTAAATTCAAGAATAAACTGTGCATTATTTAGAAAATTAGAAACAATTAACACACAGGAAATATTCAATTCTGTTCATAGTAACAGGAGAGCTAACCACAGAAACCAACTTTGCGCGAATGAAAAATAAATAGTATGAAATACCAGTCAGTAATATTTCACTCTAATATTATATATTTATATTGAACTAGCTGTACTTTGTTAGCCCGCGTGAATTATAGCAAAGGTTTTTAAAATCGATCAAGTAAGAATAGGAATCGGATCGTATTCAATGCAAACAAACAAACCGACGAACAATAAAATCTTTTCTATTTATAGTTTCAATTACATTTTAACTATTTATCTATCTAGTTAAAATGTATTCTATTTATTTGAGAGTTCTCACCTGTTGTGGGACCATCGTTGTCTCGGGTACTCCATAATACGAGAGTTTTGGCATTTCATCTTGGAATCTGAGCGATATGAGCGATCACGTACACTGTCGTTTAATATTAATTCATTATTATATGAACTTTTAGATTATTTAAACAAAGGTTTATAAAAAAAAGATTAAAGATATCAAACTTTTTTAAACTCAAAATACTCTTTGCTTCTAAATAATAAATTATTAACCAGTACTTACGTATAAAATAGAAATTTTATAAAAACAAACATTGTATCCAATAATAAAAGATTTGAGCACTCACAAACCCATTTCAGACTCTTATCTTTGTTATTATTTCTGCTTTGAAAAAGCCAACGAAAAGGGTGTTGGAAGAGGGTGTTAATTTAAAACGACCAGGGAGAAACTGTAGTTGTGTGATGAAAATAATTTTCTCACAAGCTGCAAAGGCGACAATAGGTTGCTCTAAAAGCACTTAAAGTTCTATCAACACAAAGTAAACAAATGGTAAACAGCGATTCGAAATACTTTTCAGATAACTTTCAAATAATTTGAAATAGAATTCACATATTATTATTTTCTTCTCCGGAAATTTTTAAAATAATAATGCAGTCTCATTTTCTAAATAGTCTTAGAATTTCTTTCGCAGAAAGTAAACCAAATTTTGGTTGAGTATGGTCAAACTGATTTTTCAATTGGAAAAATTACCAACAGGAGCAAATATGTTATCTTTTGGTACATACCGAGAAGTGTAATTACATTTCTTTGATTACACATGACTGTGAAATAGCGTTGAAATAAATTAAAATTATAAATTTTTAATTTAGTTTAGGGAGCGTTAATTTAGTTAATTTAGTTTATAAACCTATAGGCAGTATAGGTATAAACCTATTTGGTCATTGGTCTCCTTTTAAATTTCAAATAAAATTTAAATATAAGGATTACGCGTTATCAGATGTTAAGTGAGTTATTTTAAGAAATTTAAAGCTTTTATTTGATGCAAAGTGTTGACTCAACTTAGAGTGAGTCGTAAAATGTTAATTATTGTCGTTAACAAAGTCTTTTACATAAGTGGAAAGGGTTAATGCTCAACCTCGTGACACAAATTAGCTTAGAAACAGCTTTATTTTAGAATAAATTCTGTATTTAGGTACATATCAGAATTATCAAGTAGTTACGTAACTGATTATGATGAAGCTAATTGAGTTTGTTTTAACCAACTAGAGTATAACGTATAACTAAAAATATTATAATTGTTACTGGAATAAGTTCAGTGATGTCACGTCAATGATATTTCGTACAGAATGTTGAGCTATATCTATACTAATATGTATTATAAAAAGAAAGATTGGAATGTTTATTTGTTTGCATCGACTAAGCTCCGAAACTACTGAAGCGATTTCAAAAATTCTTTCACCTATGGGAGCTACGTCATAAGAGTTGAACTTAGGCTATTTCATCCCGAACAGCAAATAAAGGGATAAAAATAGGAGTGGAGGTTTGTATAGGGATTATTTGTTCTATTTTAAATACATTTATTTATCGATTTATTATATCTTTTTTATTTTAGAGTATGAACACATCCTATGCGCCATCAAGCTTCTCGTGCGACCAACTCGGGAACAATTTTTGCAGTTTGCTATTCTATAATAAAAGCGCTGATACGACTAGATGCTCAGTGACATAAAACATCTATAAAACCTCATATTTACGAACCGATGGCGTAGCTCTCGACTTTCACAAGTGCTTGTAACAGCCTAGACTGCATAAATAATTTTGATTTTGATTTTATGGCGCCACAGCACTGAGCTCTATGCTGCGTTCGACGTTGATAGCAGAATAGCAAAGCAAAAAGAAACCACTATCTTTATAAAAACAAAAAAAAATATCAGAACAGCCGCGCCTAGAAGCGCTCGGTCCTCTACACTGCCAGTCCAAAGAACTTGACGTAAAGATATAGATAGATAAGTCTTTAGTTTTATAGATAAGTTTCTAATAAATTTTAATTTTAATCTATATATATAAATGAATCCCTATTTGCCTTGGTCACGCCATCATACGTGAACGGCTGGACCGATATCGCTAATTCTATTTTTTGTGTTTGTAAAAATAAGCAAATTTTGTGGTTTTTGAAAACTTAAGAATATTTAACCACCATATAAAATTAATTAATCATTTCTAATCTAACCTTTGTGCTTTGGATAATATAAACTTTTAAATGTAATATTTGACATAGAATTGGAATTCAATATATATAATTAAGGTAGGACAACGTATGTCGGGTCTAGTGTCAATAATTTAATTCTCGTGTCATAGTTTTAATGACCATACTTCTTCGAAACAGCTTAACCGACTTTGATGAGATTTTATATGTATGTATATTCAGTAGGCCTTCCTCCTCCTCCTTGCGTCGTTCATCCTCAATGGTGAGGGTCGTGACCTCGATGAATTACTCTCTCGTGGACTATTGTTCGCCATCATGCTCTATCTTCGGCGATATGGATGACCTCACTGACTATAGTGTTGAGTGTAGTTCGTATTTGATCTGACCAACGTAGAGGACTTCTTCCTCGTGGTTTTTGTCCATCTATTCTCCCCGTCATTAAAGTTTTTTCAAGATTATCGCCTCCTTT